ATTATGATATATATTATTATATAATAGTGTATTATGATATATATTATTATATAATAGTGTATTATGATATATATTATTATATAATAGTGTATTATGATATATATTATTATATAATAGTGTATTATGATATATATTATTATATAATAGTGTATTATGATATATATTATTATATAATAGTGTATTATGATATATATTATTATATAATAGTGTAGTATGATATATATTATTATATAATAGTGTATTATGATATATATTATTATATGATAGTGTAGTATTATATATATTATTATATAATAAGAACATGTGATGGGACAAATTAAAACCTATGGATTTTACAAGTGAATGGTGAAAGTTTGACTTGTGATCAGTGGTCGTTTCCCATTATACAATGTATTGGTATATATAGACCAACAGAAATAAAAGGTTTACATGTTGTTTGTACCTATATTACACCTCCCTGTTCATCAGTGTCTATATTACTTGGCAGACTTCATAATCTGGTGGATAAGATTTGATCATGTACAACAAACTAAAGCACTTAAACCATTACTAAGCAAATGAAAGAACACTGACCTCGGGCAGAGATTGACTTCTCATGAATATTCATGCCCAAGCTGTTGAAACAAAACAAGCTATTTGAGGATAGACACACCACCGAGACTGACAGACAAGTTCCTTAGACGCCAGGGTTAGTCGGGCAGAACAAATGTGTTTGGAATGATCTGATTACTTGGACATTATCGCTTGACCCGAAGATTAACTATCCACAGCAGCAAGTCTTGTTTGTATTATGTAGGCGTGTGTAGGAACAGCAGGCAAAGAAAAACTAAAAGTGCTCCTGTCAGAAATGTCACTCTGTAATTAAGTCCTGTTTTCACCTGAACCTGGACTTTCACTGACCTGGTAGTTACATTTAAAGGCCAAATAAATCAAGATGAGTGTTTCATGCTTTCCCCACTGTACCACAGTTTCCCTGAATGACTGAAGATATTTATCTATGTATATTTTAAAACAAATATTGAATTCTGTTGATGTATTCAACCAACTTCTACATTGTATCAATGCAATAGTGATTCATTTATTTTTTATTTGAAACATTCCATTAATATATACATCATTGCAGTTACCTACTCAAAACATATACAGAAGAAACCTGAAACAGTCCATAACATTTGTGTAGCCTAACGTGAAACAGTCTATAACATTTGTGTAGCCTAATGGTTTTAGAGAATGGGCGTTACACCTGTCTTATTTCCTCCAGTCATTATTAACAGTGAGCAGAGAAGGTTAACTCCTAAACTGACCTGGACTGGACATTTGACCACCACAACACAGAACGACCATCTAAAAGCAAGTGACCACACAGAGAAAAAAAATATGATGGAAGACACGTGTAGGGATGAACGAAAAACAACATACTGTACAGGTATGATCAACAGAAAGATGGATGGAAGACAGAGTAAGGGAAGGGTAGGAATTGGTTACAAGCAAGGGAGATAATACACAATCTTTAATGTAACTTTGTTTAATAATCAACATAATCAAAACTCCTCACTTATCTCTAGAACTGTCCATTTTTGGTTTGTAATATCTCAATGCAAGTGATATTTCCAGTTAAACCCATGGCCCCTGACACTGTACACATTTCACAGCCTAGTAATGGGACACACAAAGGGCTTACATATTCATTACATGCTGAGGACTAATTCAAGAAACCATTGCTTCAAGTTTTAAATATGTACATAATTCAAAACATTTGCATTAATATGAAGTAAAATCAATATTATGCAAGAACAGACATGTTTATCCAGCACTAGTTCTGTTTATAGAAAAAATAAAAAAAATGTTTAAAGAGCATAATAGGTAACACTTACACACAAGTTACTTCTACACATTTTAAAGGGTTACATTTACAAGCAATGAGATCTTTGTTAATTTGACCCTTTTACCCCAAGGTAACTTTAGTAGACTCTACCATACATTGATCTGGATTAGTCCATTATGGTCTACAGTGGTGAAAGGTTTAAGCAGTTTGGATATGCGACCTTGACAAAGATGATTGCATCCAAAAACACTCGTCAACGAGACTCGATTCCCAGACTGGCCTTGGTACCTTGTGATGAGGAACATCAGTGTTAGATTGTATCAAGGTTAATTTTGTAGTCACATCATGGATGATCTTACATTTAACCTGGTATAGGAATGATTTTCTGCCACCAACCTCTGACATGAAGTGAAAAGAAAAATGGATAACTGGCTAAATACCAATTTCGGCTTTTTACATATTGGACGAAGATAAGAGACCTTTCAATGTGATCCAATGTCAGCAGCCCGACAGTCATATCCAACACGATCTGGCTCCCGTCTGTCTCCTTAACGGCTGACCATCTCTTTATAAAAACCTGGCCTAGTTGTCCTTCATTCAATATTTGCTGGCTACCTAACACTCTCCTACATCTCAACATCACCCATGGTTCCAGTCATTCTTTGTATTGATGCTAATATAATGCTGTTCTTCAGTTTCTGCACTAGGAACATGAAAGTTGTGCTATTTGAATCTGAATCTTTACCAGAGATGGTGTCAAAGCCACCCAATGCTCGCCTGTTTAAACTATAAAATGTCTGTAAGACATAAAAGCCCCCGCTCATGGATGGGACGGGACGCGACGGGACGGGACGGAACGGGACGCGACGGACATGGGCAACACTATATGCCCCCCTATTTTATGGCGGGGGCACAAGAATTATCTTCTTCAAAAATGTGTTAGTTTTTTGGGGTTTAGCATCCCTTTAACTCATGTATGGGTCATATTGAGACGGTGTCTGCTTGCGACAGGTAGACTTATGGTGACTTTATAGTGCTGTCTCACTGAAATATCATGCCGCACCCACATTGACTTGCTCCTTCACTCGGTCACATTATCCTTAGCAGGGAGAGAGAAGATTGCCTTATTTTAAAGTCTTAGGTTTTGACCCGACCTGGATTTGATCCCCTGACCGTGGATTCTAGCACCAGTCTACCAGCACAAAGCCAGCACCCTAACTACTGCAGAGAAGTCTGAGCCACACAATCTTAAATCATGTATTTGTATATTGTTATCAGTTAAAAAATAGTGTCGTAGATAAATACATTAGAAAGGAAAAATGGAAAACATGAACATGATGCAATGATTTCACATCAATGTGTCCAACTCATCATAATATTGAAACAAATATTGATTTAGGCTAACCATTACAAGAAATTTTAACATTGATATGCTTCAAAAAGTGAAGTACAAAACAGGTCAAAAATTACAAAAAATTGTGAAATTATTTATAAATTTTAACTTCACTTCATCAATATGATACTCCACAGGAACCTCCATGCCAAATATCAGCTTTCTAGTACACATATTTAATGAATGACAAGCTTCTAAATAACTTGCAGGTAAAACTTTAACTTTGATATGCTTCAAAAAAGTTAAGTACAAAACAGGTCAAAATATTTAAAAATTTGAGTGAAATTCTTTTTTTAATTTTAACTTCACTGCATCAATATTATACCCCACAGCATCCTAGTACACATATTTAATGAATGACCATCTTCTAAATAACGTGCAGTTGAGCTAAAAATGTTTTTTATTCTTCTGTTTTTACAGCCATGAAAAACTGTATTGTCTTATGTGTTTTTGTTGGTTTGAACATTTATTCTTCAATGTTTTTAACAACACTCTCCAAACAATAATCGTAACAACAACAACAACAACAACAAATGATTGATAAAATGGTATCCATGGTATTGAAACTCCAATTGTTTTTTCCCAAAGAAAACGATACTGAAACAAGCTTTAGACAAACTTCAAAATCCAAACAACTGAGGAGGCGGCTCCCATAACTAAATCAATTACCTGTTTTTGAATTACTTTTAAAACACATTTGATCATTATGACATTGAAAGTACATCAAGGTAATTCAAATCAGTCTGATAGCCTTAAAAAGCTTCAACGCCAGTAAGCGACAGGACAAATGTCTGACTCAAGGTCTCATGATACAGCGAAGAGAAAGTTTGAACAATTTGATCCATATGAAAGTGGGTAAAGAGTAATACCTTCATTAAATGATGCTGAAAAGTGTGAAATGGGTCTTGTCTAGTGTATTAATTTACGACAAGGAAAAAGTCGATAGCTATCTACTCCAGCAAAAAAAAAAAAATGTACAGGATAAATGTAAGGCCAGTGATAGCAGGCTTTTCACAAACCTATGTTAGAAATGAGAAGCAAAAGACTTCAATTTATGAACAAACTTAATTAATGAGTGGCACATAAGTCTAACACATCAATTTAATGTCATAATGACAATACTGTAGAAAAATAGATGAAACTCGAAGGGGGGCCTTCGTGAATACCGCTGCTTTGATTGATCAGGAATTGGTGGGAGTAATGGGCATGTGGATTGGAAGAATCAAATGAAGAGCGTATATGCTGCAAGTCTCACATCACGTAGGTCGGAGTTCATGGAAGAGGTCACAGTGACCTACATATGGTACGCGACACACCGCCTTCCATGCATGTACCCACAAACCAAGATTCATAAGCGTAAGTGAAATAGTACGGGAGATATGCTCCGGAAACCTTTCTGACGACATCATGTAGGTTAGAGGTCACAGTAGAGGTCACAGTGACCTACATAAGGTACGCAACACAACCCCTTCCATGTATGTACATGTACCAACAAACCAAGATTCATAACCGTAGATGAAATAGTACGAGAGACATGCTCCGGAAACCTTTCGGACGGACGGACGCACAGACACACGGACAGACGGATGAAGCAAACACTATATCTATACCCCGGACTTTGTCGAAGTGGGGGTATAATAAACTAGTACCTTTCATAAGTGGTACTGATTATACTCATATGGCGACCTTTGAGCTGTGAAAAGAGTGTCAGATTAACGGTAAAATCAATGAAGGATTCCTGTAATACGTTTGTAACTGTTAATCATGTTACTGATGTCTTACCTCCGGCTCCTGTGAAAAACGTGCATGGTGTACGTGACTGGGACTAGTGGATCTCTTGTGTATATGAGGATGTTCTAATAAATAGTGGTCCTTTAAGTTTCCGATCTACAACAACAAAAATTAAAACATAAATATAATGTGTTAATACAACCCCTAAAGACAAAATAACCTCACAAAATAACATATTTTGAGTTGTTCTTTCAGATGTAATCTTAGATCTTGGAATATAGGAATAGTTTAACAAGTTCACTAGTTGAAAATACTAAATTTATTTTTAGTAAGGGACCAAAATCGAGTCTCCCTCCTAAATAGGGAGGGTTGGCAAGTATGCAGCACATATATAAAGAAATTCAGAATATAGTATTACAAATATGACTTATCATAACAATATACATGTAGTATTGCTGTATTATAAAAGTACACATATGAGTATCAAGGTATTTCAGAATTACAGTATACAAAATTACAATAATATAATATACAGTACTGCAATTACATATATCATATATTGTTAAAACTGTTTGGACTATTTTATCATGGAATACCTATAACTGCTCATAACATATTGATTTTCTCATTTAACAAATACTTCATGTAAATATGGAGCTGTATTAAGGTGTTTAATTAACAATTAACAGTGACAGCAGACCTATACCTATATAAATACACAGTACTGTGAAGGAAATTCTGAGAAAGGTAAACAGGTTTCTACCTATACCTTTATAACTATAAATACACAGTACTGTGAAGGACATTCTGAGAAACGTAAACAGGTTTAACTAACTCTTAACATCACTTACATTTTCTAGGTATTTACACCTAACAATGACACCTGACAAACTTACATGTGTTACCTTGTGTTCTGTCACTGACAAACTTACATGTTTTACCTGTGTTCTGTCACTGACAAACTTACATGTGTTACCTATGTTCTGTCACTGACAAACTTACATGTGTTACCTGTGTTCTGTCACACATTTCACGGAATATGATCATAAGTGTATGCAATTGTTCCCATTACAAATGAATCAATGACAATGACAAGTTTTTATTCTCTCAAACTGGTTACACTGTAGAGAATTATATACATATATATATATATATAGTACAGTTTACATATAAATCATGGTGTTAATGGCCAGTGTTAATTCGCTCAAGTACTAGGACTTTCAAAATAGTATCTCGACATAAATTTTCTTCTGTTTTGCAGTATCTGGTGGTCATTACAATTAAATAAATAATGATATTTGTCTCCAATTTCATTTAGATCACAAAAAATACATTTTCTAAAGGACTTTCAAAATAGTATCTCGACATAAATTTTCTTCTGTTTTGCAGTATCTGGTGGTCATTACAATTAAATAAATAATGATATTCGTCTCCAATTTCATTTAGATCACAAAAAATACATTTTCTATCTTTTCTTGGAATGTTATTCCATCTACCACATTCAATAGGAATTTTTACATTACAAATTCTGAATTTACAATAAACATTTGCTAGTCTTGGAGGGAGATCTAGAATGACATACATGTGTTCAAAACAAAACAGCAAGAACTAATTAGGAGATCTATGGCAAAACTCCTTAACATTAATTAGTGTGTTCATGATTAGATTATACTTGTTAACTTAGTTACATATCTATATTATATACATTGTACAGTACACATAGTTAAATTAATTGTAGGCAATACAGAAAACAGATCTTTATTTAATTATCTTGTCAACTGAGTACAGATCTGCACATACTATCAATCAAATGCTACAACAACTGATGTTAACTTCCTGGACAACTTGACTGACGTCACATCACTAACATTATGGACTTTAAAAGATTAAAACAATGAGGTCTTTACAAACTGCGGAGGATCACAAGTTTTGAATGATCACAGCTCTATTTTTAAACCAGGAACTTGTTGATCATTATCATTAAAGTATTCATATGGTAATTTTAATAGATCGGAATTTTCTAAAATCATACGTAGTCACTAACAAACAAACTTTCAGTTATTTCCAAAGTTTGTAGGTGTTGCCTATTTTTCCATTTAAGCTATTACAAGGAGGACGGCAAGTCTCTGATCTTTTCTTTCCAGTGTATATATATAGTGTTCTCTGCACTTAAAATTCAAATTACAAACAAAATGCTTGTTACAAAATATCTACCCTCTGGACTACAACTATTATCGGGGTAGACAGTAAGAGACTAGAAGTGTCCTACTGACATGTAGCCACATGTGTAAAACAATGCTGATAAATGATTCTACTTCTCACTGTGAAAGTGATATGTGTACATGTCTGCTAGATGTGTATCCACTCACTGCCATAGCTTCATGTAAATCAAATAAAGGCAACAGATCTCGCTATAGACCAATGACAGGATTTTTCAATATATATAAAGTAACAACGACCTTGACATATGGTGTAAAAATCTGTAAAAATTATTAAGATATCTTGGTGTTTTACTTCGGTATGAAGTTTTATTCAAATCCAAACACAGCTAATCACGAAGGTTCTGGACAGATGGCAACGTTGTTCTTTTAATGATGATGATGACCTTGACCTTAGGTACAAATGCAGAAACACAAACTCCTTCAATCTACCTAATGGAACCTATTTCTGGTATGAAGAAATTTCAACAATATTTTTCTATTTCTAGAACTGTGACCTTGACCTTAGGAACAAAGTGCTGAACTAGGACCCTCTCAAGCCACCTTTATAGTAATCGTCAGTTTTAAGTTTCATGAAAATGTAGCATTGGTTTTGAGTTTTATTAATTTATTTTAGTCAATTCTAGATTTGAGATTGCCCATTGTGAATAGTCGTTTTTGTGGCCAGGAGATATTATGCAGAAATATAAACAACTCTATAACAAGTACCAAAAAAACCTCCCACACAAAATGTTTAAAATGGTATTGGTGCCATGTTACAATGGTATTTGTGCCCTGTTACAATGGTATTGGTACCCTGTTACAATGGTATTGATGCCCTGTTACAATGGTATTGGTGAGTTTTTACAATGGTATTGGTGCCCTGTTACAATGGTAATGGTACCCTGTTACAATGGTAATGGTGCCCTGTTACAATGGTATTGGTGCCCTGTTACAATGGTATTGGTTCCCTGTAACAGGACACCAATACCATTGTAACAGGGTACCAATACCATTGTAACAGGGCGCCAATACCATTGTAACAGGGCACCAATTCCATTGTAACAGGGCACCATTACCACTGTAACAGGGCACCAATACCATTGTAAAAGGGCACCAATACCATTGTAACAGGGCGCCAATACCATTGTAACAGGGCACCATTGCCATTGTAACAGGGTATCAATACCATTGTAACAGGGCACCTATACCATTGTAACAGGGCACCAATACCAGTGTAACAGGGCACCAATACCATTGTAATAGGGCACCAATACCATTGTAACAGGGCCCCAATACCATTGTAACAGGGCACCAATCCCATTGTAACAGGGCACCATTACCATTGTAACAGGGTATCAATACCATTGTAACAGGGCACCGATACCATTGTAACAGGGTACCAATACCATTGTAACAGGGCGCCAATACCATTGTAACAGGGCACCAATTCCATTGTAACAGGGCACCATTACCACTGTAACAGGGCACCAATACCATTGTAACAGAGCACCAATACCATTGTAACAGGACACCATTAACATTGTAACAGGGTACCAATACCATTGTAACAGGGCGCCAATACCATTGTAACAGGGCACCAATTCCATTGTAACAGGGCACCATTACCATTGTAACAGGGCACCATTACCACTGTAACAGGGTATCAATACCATTGTAACAGGGCACCTATACCATTGTAACAGGGCACCAATACCAGTGTAACAGGGCACCAATACCATTGTAACAGGGCGCCAATACCATTGTAACAGGGCACCAATGCCATTGTAACAGGGCACCAATACCATTATAAAAACTCACCAATACCATTGTAACAGGGCATCAATGGTATTTGTGCCCTGTTACAATGGTATTGGTGCCCTTTTACAATGGTATTGATACCCTGTTACAATGGCAATGGTGCCCTGTTACAATGGTATTGGTGCCCTGTTACAATGGTATCGGTGCCCTGTTACAATGGTATTGGTACCCTGTTACAATGGTATTGGTGCCCTGTTACAATGGTATTGGTGCCCTGTTACAATGGTATTGGTACCCTGTTACAATGGTATTGGTGCACATGCCCTGTTACAGTGCTGTTGAGTGAAAGAAGACATCATTAGTCTGTGCGTCAGAAGCTAGGTGTCCAGAACTTGACTAGAAGTCAAGACTAGGTTGATTCTAAATTTCTATATACACTTATAATAAATTTAAGAAATAGTTTATCCAGAATACCAAAAACATAAATCAGATTTCGAATTGTCTTTGGTCATGAAAATGTTCTAGTTCTGGATCTCGGTGAATGTCAAAGTTGCATGCAAGTCATTAAAATGTAAAACCCGCCCAGAAATGTATCAGATTGCGTAATAAAAAAATTTCCTTCAGGATTTAATGATGCCATAACCTACTTATCCCATTGTATCATCAACCTAATACTTAACATATAAAGAACAGGGAAAGATGGGAGACACATGCACTGTCACTGACAAAGATCAGTCCTGCCAATACTGAAACTCTTCACAGAGGGCATTTTGTAAAACAGTCTATTGTGTTCATCATCTCATCACAAATGTCACTACATTTTTATGTTGAAATATTTTGATAAACAAGAGGCCCAAGGGCCTTAGCGGTCACCTGAGTTATATCATAGGTACTGGTAGCTTTATTTTATTGTTTAGATGTGATGTGGAAATCAGCATGTAAACTAAGTGAAATACAATACTTGTCATGTCATCAAAGGATAAGAATTTGAAAATATTGGTAAATGTTCCTTTTGGGGCCCCGCCCTAGCCCCTGGGGATGGGGCAGGAATCCCAATTTTCCAAAGTAATACTCTCATTCACCAAAGATGATTCTGACTAAGTTTGAGTAATTTTCTGCTGAAAATGGATAAAATATATACCCAAAAGTGTTATTTCCCTATATAAACTATAGTAAACTTTACCCCCTCCCCAAGGG